GCGATTTTGCTTCATTTTAAACATTTCAAGCTCGGGTTTGGGCGATTCTTGAGAGGATTTTCGAGGGATTTCTTGAGGTAAGTCCCTTGTGCTCATTTTTTATCAATAATCTTGTTTCCCCATTGAATTTCGCACCTAGTTTGTGTGTATTTAAGGTGGAATTTAGGGCTAGGGATTTGGAGAGTTTGATTTGGGGATTTGAGTGACGATTTGGAGTCGGATTTTGGTAATTTTGGTATGGTTAGACTCGTGGATGAATGGGCTTTCGGGTTTTGTGACTTTTATCAAATTTTTAGACGTGGGCCCGGGGGCCTGCTTTTGAGCCAATTTTTGACTTTTGATTAATAACTTAGTATTTTTCTTCTGGAATTGATTCCTTTAGCCCGTGTTGATTATATCGAATTGTTTATGGCTAGATTCGAGGCATTCGGAGGCCGTTTCGCGAGGCAAAGGTGTGTTGGAGTAGAGATTTGCTCGGATTGAGGTAAGTAACAGTTCTAAATTTGGCTCTGAGGGTATGAAACCCCGTATTATGTGTCGTGTGTTTGGTTTTAAGGTGACGCACATGCTAGGTGACGGGCGTGTGGGCGTGCACCGTAGAAATTGTGACTGGGTCAATTCCATGAAACTGTGTAGTTAAATAATTTGTTGTTATCCATACATTCTCCACGTATTAGAGAAATTGAACTGCAAATCATGTTAAAAATCATGTTTAGACCATGTGTTGACACTATAGGGACCCACAGAGGTCGTGTACATGTTGAATTATCTGCTAAATTGTTGTTTTGTACTCAGTCACAGCTTTACTTGCATATTACATCTCAATCTCTATTGTTTATTATTGATGCATTATATCATTATTGTTTGGGCTGATTATAATGATTTCTGAGAGCCCGAGAGACTGGAGAGGTTGATGACCTTTATACAACTCTACCTTGGTAATTAAGTTCCGCTTTAGTTGGTGTGAAATGAGCTACTGAGTAAGCCGAGGGCCTGATTGTGAGGATATTTATGGGATCGAGTTGCACGCCGCAGCATGTTTCATTGATTTATGCCATGATTGGCTTGTTATAGCGCTTGGGCTGAAGGAGCCCCTCCAGAGTCTGTACACACCCCTAGTGAGCGCAGGTACCTACTGAGTGCGAGTGCCGAATCCCGAATGCCGAGCGATTGAGAGGAATGAGTGATTGTGAGAAATGAGTGATTCTGAGGTTGGAGTGAATGGGAGGACTGAGCGACTGTTGCTCTGAGAGGATGCATTTGACTTTCATTTTTGTTGCACTTCAGCTGTCATATATCACCGTCTTGCAAATTTCTGAAAGATATTATACTCTGTTTCACTTGAACTTGACATGGATTAACTGTTATGGCCTAAATTGTCGAACTTGAAAGCATGCCTACTTTCCTATGTTGAAATTACTGTAATTGAACTATAACTGTGAAGCTCGTCACTATTTTCAGTCCTTTATTTAGTCTTGTTACTTACTGAGTTGGTTGTACTCATGCTACACCCTGCACTTCGTGTGCAGATCCAGGTGTTTCAGTGTTGATTACTTCGTGCAGTTGATCTTTTGGGAGGGTTCAAGGTAGCGGCGCTTCGCAGACCTTGTATCTCCTTCCCTATCTTTTCGTTTTATGTATTTACTTTCAGACTATTATAGACAATACTCCCAGATTTGTGATGTTTAGACGCTCATGTACTCAGTGAGACCCCGATGATGGGAATTTCTGTATTGGTTTTGACTTTCTATCCATTTTTAGAGTTTTGTTGATTAAAACCTGTGTTATTCTTATTTTTCATTTAAAACATGTGGAAGTATTTTGAAGTGTCGGTTTGCCTAGTACCACGTTAGGCGCCATCACGACAGGCTGAGTTTTGGGTCGTGACAGTAAACAATAAATATCCGCCTTCCATTTCTCTATTAACATTTTGACTACAGATCTCGTCTCTTCGATTCAATCCCCTAACATTCCAGGATAAGATTTTTAATTTCATTGAAAACCATTGCTGATGGATTTCCCCTTTTCCTTTGAGCTTGATTCTGAAAAGTTCATGTTGAAAACTAGATTTTGGACCTCCACACCCCCCTTCTTCCTAATTGGAGTAGATACTGTTTTCATAGCAGTCTCCAATCTTTTCTCTTGCCTACGCCTATCAATTTTCATGAAGAGTGATAGTGCTTCTTCTTCACACCCCTGAAAATTTACCCCATAAGACTTGCTCATCTTTAAAATATTTTTATGAACCCATAAGGAGCATCTGACTCAGCTTTGAGAAAGTGAGTGTCCAAAGGATCAGCTTCGTCCACCAACCAATTTTCCTGATCATTAAAATCAAATATCTGCAGGGGATTCATGGCACTAAAAGAGAAAGGAGTGAAATCCCCCATCATAATTGTTTCCCTGTCATCTTTTATAAGAAGAGAGAGAGAGAGTTAGAGTCCGCAGGTGCGGATGATTTTACGCAGAAGCTGATGCGCACCTACGGTGAAGGAGCGCAGAAGCGAAGGAGCTGGCCTTGGGGGAGAGCCGCACCTGCGAGTAATCCTCCGCAGAAACGGAGGAGCAGAAGCGGCAAAAGGACCGCAGGTGATTTCTTCGCTTCTGCGGAAGCGCACCTGCGTGCCTTGTCCGCAGGTGCGGTTACACCAGGATTCAGCATGCCAATTCTGGGCAGCTACTGCTTTGGTTTGTTCCAAAGTTCAGAATCCCTTAGCACCTGGTTTGAAGTAATCTCATCCATCAATGGATCTCCACTTATATCTGTATCGAGAATATCAAATTTGTTTGAAAGCTAGACCTTATTCCCCATTTCTGGGCTTTTTGAAAGACCCAGATTGAACTTTGTAAGTTGAACTCCTTGGCCCAGTTCAGTAGGGCCCCCTTTAATTACAGGCCCCATGATAGTATCTTCCCTTATTTTCAAATTTGAGTCTGAACCAGCTGTCCCTTGAACCTTGTGCACCAACCCCTCATCTGTAGACCCAGCTATAAGTCTACTCCCCACGAACCCTCCTTCTAGCTTTTCATCTTTGCTAGTAAAATTCTAGCTCGCCGAAGCCTCACACCACACCGGAATAGTGTAGACTACACCATTTTTTTCAAGCTCGATAGATTTAGGGATCTGCTCTAAAGGACCCTTGACTTTTAATGCGGACCCACTTTAGATGATTTCTCAAGGTGGTTTCTTCTTCAGTTTCGATCCAACCCCCACATTTGTCCCCAATTTGTATGAAGATGTCTTGATACCAGAGATGAAGAGGAACTCCAGAAGTCTCACCCATACCCAATCGAGAGTAGCGCCGGCAGGGAGACATCCAGTCGTTGGCGTCCACCAGTCAAAATTCATCAGCAGATTTCTCCATTTCCATTCTCCTACTCTGATGTGTTCTGCCAATTTCCCTGAGGGAAATTCGAAAAGGAATTTGGAGCCATGCATTCCATACATTTGTACCCCTGGGATTGAGCTCCATTTACTGTTAGCCCATCTTCGAATGTCAGATAGAGTTGGAAGTTCTTTAGAAGCTTTGAAGCTTCCAACCAGGCATCTGGAGAACACGTCGTAATCCGAGATTTCAAGCCCTACTACCGTGATGCGATTAGTGCTGGGAGCAATAGCAGATGTTGAGGATCCTTTCGCTTTCCATTTGTCAGTTCTGAAAGCCTCCAAATAAGCATGATTTTCATCTGACTTGGGAGGAATTTGCTTCACTGGGATTCTCAACCTTTGAATGACTGGGACCTCCCTATTTATGAACCTTTCAATCTTAAGAGCAAAATCTCTCCACCCTCCATTAAATGTTATTTCTGGCAAAATGATTACGGCCCTGCGCTCCCCCTGAACTGCTACAATACTAATGAATTTGCCATAATCGCTGTATTTTTTAGCGCAGAAAAAGGTGTACATGTGATCTTCCATCTCCTAAGGTCATTTCCCCTTCCTTCAAATGCAATGTGCAGTAATCCACAAATCCACAGCATGACTTTCCTGCTTAAAGTCATTTTCCTCATGTAGTTTGACTTACGCTCCACCCACTCAAACCAAACCTCATCTAGACCTTTGATTTCTATGATATCAAAGGATTTCCCACCACTATTGAAATAAATTCTATTAACCATGAATTAAAATATGATATAAAAACGAACAAAGTTTCTAAAGCAATTACTGATGAATGATTGACGAAAACTAAGCTGAAAACAACAAGAAGAGCCATCGGAAAAAGGAAATTCACCGGAAAGAGTTTTTAGGCTCTTTCCTTGAAATTCATGCCTGGGAGCATTTTTTTACTTTATTTTTATTTATTTTGAACATGTTCAATTCCTACCTGGTGTTTCCTTCCCCTTTCCTTCCTGGGGTTATTCTGGCAGTCCAATAAATAATAGATCACCCCTTCCGCCTCAAAAAATAATGATGGGGCTTGAAGTGAGGTAAAAATATCTATTTATGGTTGACCTTGGCCAGTATTGCCTTTGATTTTTGGAAAATAAGATTTACATATATAGAAATCTTATAGTAGTACAGACCAAATTTAGAAAAAGAAAAACTAAAATGCATAAAAGACGTTTAAGAAAACCGGAGTCGAGGAAAAACGTTTGAACTTTTCAAATAATAACAGTGAGGTACAAATGGAATCAACATGGTCATTGTAACTTTTTAGCCTTTGGAAGAAGTAGTAATTTTATCATTGTATCAACGTCGTATAACTTCCACACGAACTTGCTAACGTACTTACATACACAATTATATGCATGTCAGAAATCTTGATATTGGAAGTTACCTGCAAATCACTAACTTGATATTGCAGAGAAAAGTTTTTGTGTAGAAGAGATGTAAAGCAAACCACCACCATCTGCACCCAAAATATATACCAAAATCGTAATTTACATACTCAACCCCAATTAAGGAAGCATTTATTTTGCAAAAATGTTGAATTGTTTTCCATATTTTACAAAAATGTAAAAAAGAACAGGCAACATATTTTGTTTTATCAAAAAGAATTGGGAAAAATTTCTCAACCAATAAACATTAGAGAAAAGGTTTACAGTTTCTTAATGGGTTTGGTTGAAAAAATAAAACAGGGAAAAAAAATTCAAAACGGAAATATCTCAACCTTTTTCTAAAACTAACGCCACAGAACTATTTTCTTTCTAGTACATGCAGTTCAAACAAAACTACTCAAACGAAGAAGAAAAAATGGCAATGTTCTCAATAAACAATAATCTTGTAAAAATTAGCCAATGTGGAGAGAGAGAGAGGTTACTGCAATAACGCACGCCATTCGCCAACGAACAAAGTCGGTATATTTCTTATGAGCCGACGTTGTCGTTTTGTTCCCGGAGCTTGGACATTCCTCTGACTGGATGAGAACGGCATCGTTAGACTTTCCGCCGATTTCATCTGTGGTAGCACCAGCAGAGTTCTGAATCCGGTGCCGGTGACTAATACGGCGTCGTAGAGTTCGGGGTACAGCCAGAGGAGAAGTAAAATTCTGAAAGGATGTCGTTGTTCGAGGGTAAGGAGAAGAGAATCTCCGGGCCGGACTTCGGGGAACGTTGAACGATTGTGAAGGGAAAAACCAATCTCGGTTGCTCGTTGACGGCGACTCCGTGTTCAAGGTCATTTTAGTAATTGGAATCAAAAGTAACCGGGTTTTCAGTAGCCTATTATATTAGTAGTCCTTTTGGTTTTCTCGACAATCGTGTTGTTGGGTTTTATTAGTAAATGAAAATATTAGATTGTGAATGTCCATTCAAAAGATTATTCATTTAATACTCTGTTGAAGTTTATCTACAAACAGGTGATGCAATCAGATTGCAAGTAGCTCATGCAGACAGCTTACAAGCAGCTGATGCAGGCAGGTTGTAAGGAACTTAATGAAATGATTTGCAACAGCTTCTTATTAAACATGCACTTTACAAGCAGTTCATGCAGATAGCTTACGAACAACTAAAGAAAAGCATTGCAGCTGCTTCCTTTCTTCTATAAATATAGGAGTTTTCAGTTCATTATGAACATAACTTTGAAAGTTGAATAAAATATCAATCTCCCCCTATACTTATCTTCAATTTATTTTTTTATAGTCTTTATTTTATAACACGTTATCAGCACGAGACTCTGCCATTTTGAGCACTTACATTGAATTTAATTTCTATTTCAGTATTCATCTCCGATGTAAGGCGACACTCTTATGTCCGTGGTCAGATCTTGTTCATTCCGAGCATCATAAGGCAGATTTTATCCTTGAGGTGTGTTCATCTCCAATGTAAGGCGACACTCTTATGTCCGTGGTCAGATCTTGTTCATTCCGAGCATCATAAGGCAGATTATATCCTTGAGGTGGTGAGTTTTTCTTCTTGGCAGTAGTGATGTAGATATTACTTACATATGGAGTGGCCAAATTTGCGTAATTTAATTTGAGCCTTTTGCTTATATTTTTAAAAAAAAATCATCGCTTGCTTGGTTATATGTTACGTATACGGTACCTATTTTGGTATTTATTTTTATCCTTATTATCTTAATAAAAGATTACAAAGTGGATAACATTGTTAGATCCACTTAAACACTAGCAGAGTTTGCAAGAAATATAAAACCACCAGAAGTGGTTATATTTCGTATATCTCATTGTAACTAAATTTTGTTAACCAGAAGTGGTATATGCCTATGACCACCAGAAGTGATAATTTAAGCTTTCTATGGTTACAATTAAAGATAAGCTAGAGAACTATTCTCTATAGTACATGCACGCCTCGATTTGCTCATGAAGTAGTAAATATTTTAAAAAAGGTTGAAGCATCACAATTTGATGTGATTAATGCGCGTTCAGATAATTATGTTCGATTTCCTGAAGGATAAGAATTTTTGATAAATATTAATCTATTCCCTGAAGTGAATGTGATAGTATTAATAAAGTCGTAAATATGAACGCGCTCTTGTTGTAAATATATTACAATTCACCTCCAGAAGAGTTAATATGATTGAGAGAATATATACTCAATATTTTATATTTTAAATTTGCTCCTGAAGAAGTAACACAATTGAAATTTCCTCCTAAATTAGGAAAATATTTTGAAGCAGCATTTTTATGTGCTTAAACAAAATAATGAGCTATTCAAAGTTATTTTTGAAGCAACAAAAATAACATTTTCATTCCCTGGAATGAATGAAGAAATACCACAACTCACCTCCTGAAGAGGTAGAATAATAGAGGATATAAATATTATTTTTGTAGCATAAAGACCAGTGCCACATGCACTTGTTGCACATAAAATATCTTGGATAATTTTATTAAGTATCATTCTAAGGCAAAAGCATTCTTGTAGAATCTTTCTACTACAACCGCATTAATATATTATGGTTAGTTATTGAGTTTTCCGAAAGAAATAACAACTCGTGTATCTTTCCTTAAAAGATGCAATGACTATGTGGTTGCCGTATTGATACAAAATATTCATATGTTAATGATATTTCTCCTTGAGGGAGATATTTGTCACAAAGTTAGTGGTAGAAATATTAAAATTCTTAATTTTCGTCATTTATAAATTTAGAATTAACTTTATATTGTTCATTTGATTATGATTTTCTCCCATGACACCAGAAGTGTCTGAGCAATATTTGGTAGTACAACAAAAGCTCTTAAAGAGCTAACTGTTTGTCTAGAAGACACATGACATAAGTAGTGTCTGAATAATATTTGATTGTGGAGAATAAATGGAAGGCTCCCGAAGAGCTTATTTGTCATTATTGTGGTCAAAACATATGTTATGATAAATCGAAGTTTACTAATACATATGACTATCATACCGAGACTACAAATGATTGAAAGATTGAAAATCTTCATGTTTCCACAATCATATGGGGTAAATATGTATGTGAGAAGATACATGCCTTATTCTTCAAATTTGTACTACATCATGTATCACAATATACCAGAAGTTTACTAATGCAAAAGTAGTTACAGTAAATCAGAAATTTACTGATACAAAAATAGCCACAGTAAATCAGAAGTTTACTTATGCAAAAGTTTATGTCATAGTAAACCAGAAGTTTACTTAGAGATAGCACGTGCCATGATAAACTTGAAGTTTTCATTTGCCATTTTTAAATGAGCTATTTGAGAATTCATATTGGCATATACGGAAGAACTAGAAGATTCTTCAAGAATTCTCTTGTGTTGCTTGTTCTCATAATAACTTGATTATACCAGCTAAAGTTGGGACTAAAATTCCGAATTCTGGAATATATAAAAGGTGAAAATGGGCCTATTCACCTATCATGTGAACCACTTATAGATGCATATATAAGATGGTTACATGTATGTTTATTGTCAACCTGCAGTTTGGCATTTGAAATTGTCTTTCTCAATTAAGAGCATGATTTTCAGATTATGAAATCAAGATAGTTCATCTTGGTGATGCTGGTTTATATCCAATTTAGTTTAGCATTGAATACCTCATATTAATGGCTAAACTATTGCTTATGAGAACAAAGCCTTATGTTTTGGTCTAAGATTTTCTAAATTGCATACAGCAGCACTTGTATGCATCAGACCAACAAAATATGATAAGTCCTCCCCTCACAATTGGTTTAGGATCAAAAACCAAATATTTTTACTATCAAATAACTTTTGATGTATGGTATATGATTAATTTCTCTACTACAATGCACAAAGATATGTTTCCCAAAGAAGATTGGGGATATGAGTTAGTTTTTCTAACATTTGGGGGATGGAATAAAACAGCTGAAAAATATGCTATATGAATCGAATTATCATTAATATGATCCTCGCTTAGAAGATAATTCAAGTCAATGCCAGAAACATTTGCTGATCCAAAGTTAAATATCATATTTCAGCTGCAAATGCTCTTATTAAAATTAAAGTCTCTGAAGGATAGAGTTTACTGTACGCATGAAGTGTGGTAGACCAATCGGTTCCAAAGGTAACAATCCTTGAAAAGAATAGGAGCAAATGATCAAAATGATCATAATAAGGAGGAAATAAGCTCTGGAAGAGCCCACGACATAACATTTCATGAAACTCCAGAAGAAGTTCAAGTACCTGAAAATAAAAAAAGTGATGAGATCTCAACAAGTTATATCGCTTGCGAACTGATACGAAATGATCATCGACGATATATTTGATACAATATAGTGCACAATATTATAAAAGATTGTGAGGATCGGAACTGTAGTCCATACACCTGAAGATGTCATGCCATTTAAATGTAAGTCATAACTTATATGACTCATTTGATTAATTCTATATGAAGATCCCTGAAGGATTTAAAATGCCTGAAGCAAATTCAAAATCTCGAAAAATGTATTCAATCAGATTACAAAGATCTTTGTACGGTTTAAAACAATCTGGCGCATGTGGTATAGTCGCCTTAGTAAATATTTGTTGAAAGAAAGTTACATAAATGATGTTATTTGTCCGTGTATTTTTATAAAGAAAATGGCATTAGAATTTGTTATACTTGCTGTTTATGTTGATGACATAAATCTTGTTGGAACTCCAGAAGAGCTCCAAAAGGCAATTGAATATCTTAAGAAAGAATTTGAGATGAAAGATCTTGGAAAGACAAAACTTTGTCTTGGTCTGCAAATTTAACATTTAGCAGACGAGATCTTTATCCATCAATCTACCTATACATAAAGGGTCTTAAAACGTTTTTACATGGACAAAGCGCACCCATTGAGTACACCAATGATTGTTCGATCACTTGAAGTGAATAAGGACCCATTCCGACCTCCAGAAGAGGATGAAGAACTCCTTGGTCCTGAAATACCCTATCTCAGTGCAATTGGTGCACTTATGTATCTTGCTAATGCTACAAGGCCTAACATAACAAGCACTGCTCGGGGTCCATGAGACCCTCATGAATTATAAAGTATCAGGGTCAACATAGGAGGATTTTTTCATGCATAAGGATTTACTCTAAGCCTTTATTAACTAAATTTTTTTAATCTTCATAGGGTTATCACAAAATAAAATTGACTTTACTCCTTAGCTTTTTATTACCATCATTTGTTATGATTTTTATCTTTTTTGTTCTATATCGATATACACTAATGACTTTCTTAATCGTTTTGTATGCATGTTTCGAATTGGGCCTGTTGAGTCCCTTTGGGATTCAGGCCCAAGTTCCAAATCCAGATTGCTCCCTTTCCTTGTTTTTTTGGAGTCCGTTGTTGTTAAGCCAAAATCCGTTGGGCTTGGTTTACCTACCAGCCCAATGGTTAAAGAGTCCAGCTCTCTTTCCTTCTATCCTGAATGATAATTGTTTGTTATTTATCATTCTATGTGTGTATCTTTGAAAAACTAACTTTGTTATTAGAATACTTTTGATATTTTGCTTGTTTAGGAACATAGGCAAACTGAGACTCATAGGTAAAAATTAAATTAGAAGTTTTACTTTAGATATACTAATGATTGATCATTAATAATTTCTAACGAATCGTTTCAACAAAACAAACAGTTTACTTATGTTCATATCACTAACAACTTTCATTGATTTTCAAGCTTTTGGTATATTTAAATACGAAAACCAATTCCCTTTGAAAAATCATCGAATGAGCCATGTAAAATACAAGCATTATTTTCAAAGGAGAATAAAAGCAATCACACCTAGCCATTNTCTTGATAGTCCAATCCTGAGTGAGTTATGTGCCATGTGGGTGTGCGGTTTTATGTAATCTGTGTATTGCATTTGATGTCGAGAACTAGCCCTGTGTATTTGCAAAACAAAATAGTAGTTTTATTCAGTCTAGGAAGTAATATAGGCATTTATTTGTTGAGCCAGATATATGCTTTTACCCACCTAATTGTT